CATCGGCCTCGTGGTTCCCGAGCTTCGTGTTGGCTTTCGTGTCGAACCTCTTCTTCGCCCTGCTGCTGGTGTACTGGCCCAGCTCCATGCACTACCAGGCGTCCGGGCCGTCCTCCTCCAACATCATCGGCATCAATGCCGACCTGCTGGCCTCCGGGTCGGTGGATGGCGGCTGGCGGGTGTGGCTCAAGTTTTACAGCCTCAAGGCGGTGTATGCGCTGTTCATCTTCTTCTTCAGCCTGTCCATCGACCTGTGGCACCGGTACCACCTGGGGTCCAACCCGACGCTGCACTTCCACGCGGCTCCCTTCTACATTGCCCTGATCCAGGTGCTGCTGATGCTGTGCCTGGCCTTCTATGTGTTCTTCTTCGGGTTCTTCGCCACCCGGGCGTACCGGTCCAACCGGGGCCAGGAGAATGGCAAGCGCCAGAACTTCATCCTCCTGGTGTCGACCTGCTTCTTCCTGGTGGTCTTCGCGGCCTACATCGTGTCCATCTTCGAGATCGAGATGGCCGGCTGGGGCTTCTCCTTCCTGGTTTTCTTCAACTTCACCCTGCTCATGTTGATCTTCATCCACATGCCCACCCGCACGGCCGCCATCAACCAGGCCAATCGCCGGCTGTACACCCGGCCGCTGGTCAACGCCGACGACCGGTCCCTCTATGGGACCATCTGATCCGGGGCGAGAGAGGTGCCCGTGTGTGTGTGTGTGTGTGTGTGTGTGTGTGTGTGTGTGCGTGGCTCATGTGTCGGCAGGCCGGCGAGGAGCCGGCGGGGCGTGTGCCCCCCCGCTGCTGTTCCTTCCGCTGCTCTCCCCCCCCCCCCTCCCCTCCCGCTTCCGCTGAGCCGTGTGTGTCCGCGCATGCATGTGTGCCCGTGTCCGCGGCCCTTTCCCCTCGCGCGCGCTTCGTGCCCGCACGACAAAAATAGATTCCCCTTGTCTCCCCCCAATCCCCCTCTCCCCGCCCTGCGCTCGGGCGGGGCTTGTCCGGGGCTCTTTTTTGTTCCGTCGGAACGGTAACCCACGGCAAGGTGCCAACGGAGGGGCGACCTGCGCAGGCGTGCTACACTTGGAGAACCTGCGCGCGCCCCCCGGGCGGGCTCATGTCTGCGCTTCCGCGCGCGCGCGCGCGCACACACGCCGAGCGGCTGGAGGGCCGTAAAAGTGCGCAGGGCCAGGCGCGCGCGCAGGCGGGGGCGGGCCGCGCCGCGGGCAAACCGGGGGGGGGGGGGGATGCTGACACTTGTTCCGCGGCCTCGCGCCCTGGCTCCCCCCGCCCCCCGCCCCCGCCCCCGCCCCCGCCCCCACCCCCCAGAGGGCCGCCCTCTGGTTGGGGTGCGCGCGAGCGTACGCCCACGCCCGCGCGCATTCCTGAGCCATTCCTGCAGGGATGCGTGGCGACGCGCGGCTAAGGCTCGGGCTTGAATTCGGCAGACTGCCGCGCCCCCTCGCCCAGCCGCCGCCGCCGCCGCCGCCGCCGCCGCCGCCGCCGCCGCCGCCGCCGGCCGTTCGTTGTTCCCCAGGGGCTCCCGGGCGGCCCGGCCCCAAGTGGGCAGATTGCGCTGGCTCGAGGGGGGCGGCCAGGCGGCGAGGGCTGGTCCACCGCGGTCGCCCCCAGGGGCGAGAGGCACCGGGACATTGGCTTCTTTTTTTAATTTATTTCTCTCTCCACCGCGGATGCGCGCCGGCGCCGGTGCATGCACCAACGGCCCCCGCGCTCTCCCGCTTCGCCCGCCCTCGGCCGTCCGGGGCTCCCACTTCCGCCCCAGGGGGGGGGGGGGGGCGGGGCCGGGATTGGTCCATGACTACCGCCCGCAGGGGCGGGGGCGAGGGGATGGGGAGGGGCGGCGCTTGCTCGCTCTCGCTCTCGCCCTCGGGCGCGCGTGCGTGCGTGAGGCCCGCGGCGCACCCCTGGCCCCCGCGGCCCCCCCCTTCCGAAAAGCCAACGGACAGATCGGCTCCGCTGGCTGCCGTCACAGGGGGCGACCGGCGGGCACATCTGCGGGCTTCGCCCTCCCATGTTTCCTCGCATGTCCCCCCCCCCCTTTGGGCGGGGTGGACGGCAGCCGGGGGGCCCCGGGCCGCGTCGGGGGAGACGGGCGCGCGATGCACTGGCCGGCCCGCCCCCGCCCGCCGGGACCGGCGGATCGCCGATCGCCCGCATCTTGCCCGGCCCCCCCCCCCCCCGCCCGGCAGGGCGCCGCGAAAGTCGCCGGAGACAGGGCGTGTCCCTGGCCGGTGCACGGCGGCACCCGTGAGGGGGGGGCGGGGGGGGGGGCCGCCAGGGGCCGTGCGCCCGGGCGATGGGGATCGCGCCCCTCGTTCCCCCTGCCCCCCGGCCGGCCCCCTCCCCAAGGGCCAGGACCCAGTCCCGGCGGGCGCCGCCGCTCCCGCTCATAGTCACTCCTCTCCACTCTTCGCCCGCTGCACCTTGTCGCCCCTTCCCCGCTCCCTGTCCTCCTTCCCCGCTCCCTGCCTCGCGGTCCCTCCGTTCCCCTTCCGCTCGTGAGACGGCATCCGCCGGAGCCCGCAAGAGCCCGGCGGGCTCCCCTCCCCTCCCCTTGATTGTCGCTTTTTCCTGCCCCCCC